TATATATAAACAAGGTGATATTCTCAATGCAGTAACTGGGTGCGCGCTTACGACTGTCCCTTCCCTTAAGTAGGTCAGTGAGTTATGTAGAGGCGTAGCGTTGCTTGATTGGCTGATGCTTGTTGGTCGTGTACCGATATGGGATGAGGTGAACGTGAACAGTCTGACGATTGTTCGTTGATTGATCAGTCTAAGTGTTCCTGTTGGCCTATTGTGACATGTGACACGACCCACCTTTGTGTTGACTGGTCCTTTTGTTGCATTGGGATGTAGACTTGATCGATGTCAATGTGTCGGATGACCGAGTTTTCCAATAAATGCCAAGCTTTTAGAAATTCTCTTGCATGCTTGGTGCGGTCCTGATCGACGACTTTGATGTTTTCGAAATCAAAGTGCTGTCCTCGGTCCTCATGAATTGAGATGAATGAGATCGCATCGTGTCTTTTGACGGCCAGTCTGTGTTCGTGCACGCGAGTTGCTAGTTTTCTCCCTGTTTGACTGATGAAGTGCTTGTTGCAGTTCTTGTAGTTGATTCGGTAGATCACATTTGTTCCATTTTTCTCTTAATGCTTGGTTTTTTGATAAGATTCTCCTTAGGGATGTAGTTGGTTGGTGGGCCACTTTAATGTTGAGCAGCTTCAGTATTCTCGTGGTCATTTCAGAAAGGGTTTTCACGCGGTAGGGTTGTTCGTTTCTACGGTTGTCCGTTTGTCCTTGTGTGTTGTGTTCGAGTTATTGTCCGTTTGACATAGTTGCGGGTGTAGCCGTTGTGGAGGGATACTTGGTAGAGGTATTTCTGCCTTTACTGCCTCAACTTTTCAGTGCGGCTCTTTCGAAAAGTGTCCGAATGCAACTCTTCTGGTGACAGGTTGGGCGGTTTCTGGTTTGTCCCAGGATTCGATCCGCGTGGGTCCTTCTTTCTGTATACTCATAGTTCTAGCGGACCGGACAATGATCTTAGGACATCGAGGAATACCAATTTGTCATTTTGTTGTGTTTCCATGGTGAACTTGATATCCGGGAAGATATGCTGCTGAAAGTTCTGTCCACTTCCGATCGCCTCAGGATCACGAATGTGTCGTCTACATATCTAAGCCAGAGTTTGGACAAAGTTGTGGCAGAATCGTCCTTTCGAGTTTTTGCATTACGGCTTCAGAGGTGAATCCGGAAATTGGTGAATTCATGGGTGTTCCTTCTACCTGATCGTCGAATTCACTGTGGAATTTAAAGTATGTTTGCAGGCATAGATCCGTCAGCTCGCAGATATATTTGTTATCCACTGTCTGGTGTATTTATCGTTCTTTTAGAAGCTCCTTTGGTGTTCCCTGGCCAAATCAAGGTTGGAGGTGAATAGAGCTGTGAAGTAAAAGGATATCATTATGTCATCTGCATCAATATTTACATTGTTCAATTTTTCTGGGAACTGGCGTTATTGATGGAATGTTCGTAGCCGGCGGTGAGAGGTTTGAGTCTCCTCCACAATTCTTGTAATTTGTAGGTGTACCGGGAAGCGAGACTATCGGTAGTAGCGACACATTATCTTTGCGTGTTTTTGGTAGTCCGTAGAATTGAGCCGTCTGAGTCGTTTGCTTTCATTCTCCAGTGTTCTTTGCTAATTTGGTGTAGCTGTTCCAGCCTTTTCGGCGTTGCGGTAATTTTTCTGGCGGGTTTTGAAGTTAGATCTATGTTCATTTTGCGGTAGGTAGTTGTGTCTTGAACGTGTTGAAATGTTCCTGATCCATGTGCCTTGTTGCTCGGCCTTCCTGTGATTAAACAAATTCTCCAGTTTCTTGGCTAATGACTCCTTCCTTTGTGCCGTTGTGTTGGTAACTCTCCTCTATAAAGCTGATTGTAGACTTGTCAAGGTTTCGTTGTCCAGTATACTTTCGCAAGTTATTATCTCTTCCCTCGGGAGGTTGTATAAATGTAAACCTCGATGAGCATCGGTTATCTTCACTCTGACCATGCTTCTATCACATCGCATTGCTATTTTCCAGGCTTCTGGGTGGTTGACCGGTGGTCGATGACTAACGCTAGACCGAAGGACGTTGTTTCGTAAGCATTCCTGTAGAAAATATAGCTGCTCGCGAGTTGAAGGTTGACCAGGCGACGTTTGGCTTTGAGTGTTGAACGCCTGAAAAGAGACGACAATTTCGTGAATGGTGTAGATTGTTGTTTTTGAAACTCGGGTTGTATGATTTAATGTTCGGTTCGCTGAACTCGGCAATTGTACTGCAAACGTTTCATTACCAATCAAGGCGACATTCTCAATGCAATAACGGTGCGCGCTTACGAGTGTCCCTTATATGTGTCGTTGAGTGGTATAGAAACATTGCCTGATTGACTGCCAAGTAGTACGAACAAAATGAAACATTCGGGTTGAGTGAAAGTGTGAACAAGTCTTACTGCACTTCGGAGGTATCTTGTTGAATCTTTTTCTCAAACGTCTTTTTACTTGCCAATCAATCAGCTTATTCATGTGGACCATTGTTCAGATTCGCTTAATTCTTGAAATTCAAGGGCAACAGAATACCTGAAGGTGACCATACGTTGCTTAAACTAAACAACGAATGCACATACATAATGATCATTCTTTGATTTCTGCTTTGTTTTGTTCATAGACCTATTCGGAAAGAATTCTCTCACAATCTGCCGAATTCAGTCAGATGACTATTGCATTCGATGTTGAGGTCAACACGGTAACGGGATGGTTTTTATGTACAGCGATAATCGATAATCATCGATATTCTCCATTAACGGGATCTACTGTATCGGAAGCCGAAAAACGCGCTGTGAAAGAATTGCTTGAAACTCTGAGACAGACACAGCCAGTCGTTGGCGCGGTACACATGAGATCAGGTTTGTTTTTAAAGCGAGTAAATTAATTTTACTTTATGAAAATCCTGTCAGCTTTGGTAATTTTAGATAGATTTTACTTCTACAGAGTAATACAGCGTAAATTGTGACTACCAGATGTCATTGTCACCGACAAGAATCACTGAAAATTCTCCGTATCTATCTGGTAATCCGTGATATCACAATCCCTGTACGGGGCCATATCACTCATAAATCACTTCATTCCATTTAGTGGGTGTTGTGATTTTACAATTTATCGTACTATACACTTTGTGGTCCAAACCCTTGATTTCTATGTCCTTGCTAATGAACTGATCAATTTCTTGGTTGTTATCCCAGATTTTGATTTTACTTGATCGGGGCGATTTTCAAACGACCGGTAACAATCGTTAGGTAGTTTGCGAGTTTTGATTTTTTTTCATTCGTATACAGTTACATTTTCGATACATATTTACGTTTTCAGGAAGTCGCTGGCAACCCGAACGACTGGAACCGTTATGGGGCGTTTCAGAGCGAGCTCTGGTTGATACTCTGATGTGGGGTAAAGAAGAGCGCGATTTGGCCATAGACATAGAACAGCTAGAAGCTCATTGTGACGTGCCCGAGTTGCCAGAAGCTGCGCCATCCGACGAGCCTGATCGAAATTTCGGTGAGTGAATATCATGGTATTTGTCACCAATTCGTTCATCGTTGTCAGTGTTCTAACAAATCTTGTATTTTTTCAGATGACCCGAATAAAGATCAACCCGAAATAGATCGGTTTTCGTCCCTTCGACACCTGGAAAATTTCATTCAAGCATACGCAGCATCCGCACTAGTCACGCCACTCCGATTATCATCCAGAACGGTGCCTCCGCGAGTTTGGCCGCTAGTGCGCCAAGTTGCGCGCAACTGGGGCTTGCTAAGCTGCATTGAAAAACAACATCTCGTGGACAACATCATTTTGTGCGTGCTCATATGCAAACGTGCACCTCTACCCAGACTCAAACGTACACTCTATGAAAAAGGAAGCTATGGCTGTTTTACTCTTTTGGACAAAGGCAATCTCCACGCTGATGCGCTAAAACGGCTTTTAATGATCGAGCCCCTGATCTATGACGTCTCCGATCCGACGGCCGGTAGTTCCCTCAATCCCCCTTTCAATGGTTGTAACCCTCCCTATTCTTCCTTGTCCACAGATGATAGTGATCCTTACAGCGAAGAGCCAGTTACTCGTCTAGCTCGTCATTTCATTGCAACTGGGCCGAAACTCAGTTCCGTAAAAAATGAACCAAAAGCATGCGAGGAGCAACCAACTTTGGATGACTGTGTGCTGCTCACAGCGGAACTCAATCAACCATCCAGTGCTATTGAAATCCTTGACGATTTACCCAAAACCCTGATACCCGGTATCGACTTCTGAGGTTGTACAGTTTAGTGCCTCTACATTTTTCAAATAGCGCCCACTTGTTTATAGACCCGCCTTTCCCCATAAGCATTTTAGGCTTCCGCATTTACCTCGGTCCGTAATGCAATTCCGAATGTGATTCTCCCGGTTCTGTAACCCCCATACCACTCCGTGTCATTCTCAAGAAAAAAGTGCGTATTCTTGTTCCTTTTTGGTCTGCATTTCATTAGTGGTTGCACGTTTATCGTATAATTTGTTTTTGCTCATTTATCGTGCTTATTTTCCTTTTCATGCTTTCACATTCCCACGGATTCCCTACTCTCTATTCGGATTGAATGCACGTTTCTTCGCCTGGTCGGACGCGATTTCGTCTCCTTCGATCTCGGACAAACGGCAGCTTACTTGAAACTAGCCATTGTTTCATCTGTCCGAAATCGGACTATGATTTTTCTGAACGCAAAGCTATGTAGCATTTGGATTATGTTGCCAACGCGCAAGCGATGATATACCTTTGAGCTCTAGTCACTCAAAGTAACTCTGAATATCGTTATGTCGCCATAATGACAATCGACCATAATCGATCCAAGGTGCCAGGACCGGTTAGAACACGCTAGTGTTACGTAACTGGTATCAAAACTTTGTTTACGCAGATTGATTGCCGGTGCTGCAGCAAGCCAAATAACGGCTGGCTGAACACAAGGAATAAATGTCACTCACCCAATCGTCGAAATCAATTACGGTTCATTCGCGATTTGCCGATTTTGGGAGCCATTGAAAAAAAAACATCTAGGATTTTTCATGAAGGTCTCCGGGTCTTCGATTGGTTCTAAACTCGGGCACCTAATTGGTGTCGGGTTGGTGAACCCTTTGTCTCGTAACCTTTGAATAAACGTTTAAATGCATGCCTCGTTTCGGGGCATTCTTTTTCAACGTGTGATTTCGAATGTTCTGCTATTCTTACAAGGCTTCGTTTCACAAAATGTTTTGTCTGATGCTACTGTATCGCCCAAAACGACTGTGTGCAGAAGGGTTTCAATACCACGTTTCTGTGCTATTGTTTTTACAGATTCCGATTTCACACTGTTCTGGAGACGGACACTTGTCCGACTATCATCTAATTACCTAATTTGATAATATTCGTCGCACGACCTCGGCGATTAATGCGATTAGCCCATCCCTTCAGTGTTTGCTTTAGATAGAATACTCCTCGTTTTCATTTCTGTCCTTCGAGGACCAGTTGATTGAATCACCCGAAACCAATAGTTTATTAGTTTACCTTCTAAGCTGGTACCGTAACGCAACTCAATGCATGGGACGAACCAAAACTGATATGCCACGTACCAACGCTATCTGAACGGTCTCTCCACTCCTCCCAATTACCCCTAAAGCGGGAACCAGAACTATCTCAAAACTGAGCTCTAAGTTTCCTTAACTACCCGAATTCGAAACCGCAATGGTGAGAGCCATCCAGCGGTTTGGGGTTTTCGATCACCGGTTTTTCACCCTCATGCTAAAAGTACACGGACACGGAACCATCGCCCGTCAACGAACGCGCATACAAACTTGCTAACAACAGCAGTGACTTCACTGATATTGCCATAATCGTCTCCATGCTCACTACCGACCAGAGTTAATTACAACCATCCGGGATATTGCAATCAAAGACTTGGATCAGCTTATTCTTCGAGTGGGAACCAAACAAAATTAACACATGAAGACTGGAGTTAACTGACTTGTCTTCTCCAAAGAAGAGCGAGTAAAAGGCAAGAATTTACGGACACTGCGAAGGCGTGCGTTTATGCTACTATCTGAAATTCAATCATGCTTCCGTTCCAAAGGGTTAAACTTTTTTACATTAACTATCATCTCATACGATGTATTCGGTTGCTCGATCTGTGACGAGTCCCTGATACTCAAAGGTGGATCATTAAATACAATACAGACTGAAACAATTCAAGGGTTTCCTTATGTCGATCACATGAGGTACACGTGAACGCAACGCTAGTTTGAATGACGCTGATCAGACTGCTATCTTGATATGATAGTTCGCTAACTAGCGGCAAGCTTCAAATAGAGTCCAACTTATTCTTGAGACTTAAAATGCATGCATGTATGAGGCGCGAGTGAGACCAAAGAATGTGTATATAAAAGGCGTGTGTCTGCACACGGATAGTAGAGGTAAAAACACGTGGGTTCTATCCTTATTTGTTAGAGCATAGACCTGCCAACTGAACTCACGAGTTTTTTTCATCTCGAAGAGATTCAGCTTCTCGAAACCAATTAACTTCAAGACCTAGCTTCGAGTTTTATTATCTCATTGAATCGCAAGCTGACAGCTTTGTTCATATAACGATATTGCCTAAAACAGTCAAATTTCCCAAAAGCAGTCTGACCGGGAGTGAAATTTTGGATAAACTGGAATTATTCTAAAGACGGAAAGCTTTGTTTATGTATCTGAGGTTGGAAACGAGCTGTATTCAGGATGAAACATTTGCGAACTGTTGTTCGTTTTATCTTGTAGTGGACAAGGAATTTTAATCCAGTGAGATAGACGCCGATTCTATGTTCATCGATGAGGATTTTGATTTTTTTTTCACTGCCTATCGCTTTCGATTAGAAATTATCGTAGCTAACCTCCAGAGTCGCAGGCGGTAACCAGTGTCGATAAACATTTATTTTCGGATTGCGTTTGTTCATAAATTTATCAGGGTCTTTCCCGAGGTTTCCATGGTTCAAGAAGACCCATTCCTTGGGGACACGGTCTATTCATGGTCGAGTGATATAATGAAACGCTGTGTATATCGCGTTTCCATTTCAGCATATATTTGCCATCCGATCACTACCATTGTGTGCTTGCTGAAATCGCCGTACAGTTTCTGTTATGGAGCTCGAAGCCTAAGTAAGAGAATAAGAACGTCGACCATATATCAGTGGTTCATATTGGTTCGGTTTAGCACTTTCGTGCGCCGCTTTCGGTTCTTGTTAAATGCAAACGTTGATACCAAAGTTGTTTCTCATCAATTTCTTGTTTAGGAGCTGTCAGTTAGTGATGCGAATAGGAGTAATGAGTGCTGAGTCGATAACGAGAATTCGAACTGCGCCATCCGACTCTATTGGCAAGCGGATTCGTTGTAATCCGGCCTAATATCACACCTCACATAGCGGAACTAACTAGTTTGTCTTTCAGATGTTCCCGGGGTTTGATTTCCGAAAGTTAACAACAGTCTTCCTCATCATGGGGTTATCACAAGTGTGTAATAAAAACGTTATCTCCTAAATCGTTGTCCTTATAAATAGATCACCGACCCACAATCTGTCCGGCGGTGACCGTTCTAGACGTATTTACTTTCAGTTTTTTTGAATAAAATCGGAGCGCTTATCCTGGGGATATTCATGGCAGACGAGAATAAAAGCTTCGACGTAATATGTTTGCTGAAATGCAATTAGTTACCCTTGATTTGACTAAGTGTTTGATTTCTACATGATTATTGAAACTCAAAACAAATTTCCGGTTCTCGATTCTAGTCCTAATGTGAACAATGTCAGCAACGCTAGTAGTCGAAAAGAGTGCGAAACAGTGATCATGCTCTTTGGCTTGTCGTGCTTTTTCGGCGTCTATATGAAGTGTATTTGTATTCGTGGCGATGTAACTATTTATGATTAGTTGCAAACGTTGATCCATTGTGGTCAGAAGAAATGTCCTAGGTAGTCCCCCTCCGCCAAGCATCATCGCTGTCGTCCGGCTAAATACGACACCTAATTTGGCGGGGTTCAACGTGATTCGCCACTCAAACTCCAAGTTGACTATTTCCTTCACTAAACAGCAGGTCCTCGTGATTATGCTGTCCACTCCGTGTGCATCACACAAAATGTAATAAAAGATTTCTCGGAAACATCCACATTCTTATTGTGCTTTGGATTGTAATGGGCTTTGATTTGCGCTTGGTTGCTGATTCATTTTTGTTTGCCATCTATTTATTACCATACTGTTCTTTGAAAGTAATGGTAGTGATACGGCTGATGAAGGTGAGTCATTTTAGCAGCTTTATAACGTGGGATGAATGTGATCCAGTTTTTAATCGCAATCAGTTCGATCACATGATGCAATTTAAAAATCGCTGCGTGTTTCTGAATCGTATTCGTTACATAGCAGTTCAGCTAATCTGTAAACGTCAGAAGGATTCATTTCCACTGGAACAATTTGTAAAGTAAGTCCGCTCAACTGTGTTTCTTCTAATCATAGATAACCGCTTTGGTAGAGGACTAAATTCGGCGTCCAGCAATCGATCATACTATCACATTCATATCAGTAATCTGCTTGTCTAACCTCTTCGAATAAAAACTTTATCAGTACAATGTTTTCTAGTTAAAGTTGCATACTGGAGTAGCTACGGGATTGCATAGACCACCGAGTAGTTGAAGTTTAGATTTAGTTATGCTTCCAAAGCTATGTTGTAAGAACTTCGCCTATAACAATGGAGGCTGATTTGGACTGTCTCCACTTTGTTCTCCAAGGATGAGTCGGCAACCTGTCGTTGATGGAGATCATACTAAGCTTTGCAACGACCGAATTAGCTCCCGGCAACTTAGAGCATCTGCAATGCAGCCACGTCTATCTTTATTCGAAAAGAAGTACAGACTAAAGGCTGCGTTTCATAAACAGTGGCGCTCGTACATTTACTCACTAAACTTGCAAACCCAGACTGTGAATCCCCAATCTCTTCTTTGATTCTACTCTCAACATTCCAATCTTTATTCTGCTCTTTTATCTAAGTAACTAAAACCGACACATGAGAATGCATGGTTAATGGTTGTAACAGCTAAAATGAACTCACGGTTTGAAACGTTTTGCTATGTGATTGATGTTTGACCTTCCATTTCGAATAGCTCTAAAGTTTCCCCCAACTCGACCGATATGTTTATTGGGGTACCGTGTTTAACATGCGGGCTTCCTACAGAACTAGAGTATTCAATCGCCTAAGAGCAGGAAGACGGCGATACCCTATGGGTTTATC